TCGCAGAGTCCCACGGTGAGTCGGGGAAGAGATGCTGCGAGGGTAGGTGCGTAGTGGCCGGCATCTGCGTTGACGGGAGGAGATGTCCTTCAGAACCGTGTGCAGAAGTGCTGTGCCTAGACGCTGGTGAGGCCGTAGGGAAGAACCAGGCTGCACAACTTCGTTGCAGGTAATGGTGGTCCCTGATGAGGCCGAGGATGCTGGTTGGCTGCGACTTGGTTACCGCTCAGCGGAGAAGTGATGAATGAGAGGGATGGCGATACGGATGACGGTGCTAATCTGCTCCGTGAAGTGAAGGTTGTTTCCAATCACGTCGGGGTCACCACTTTAGGGAACAGTGAGTATAGTTCCCTAAGATCGGAAAAGGAGGATCCTCTGACCAGGCGAGGTGATCGTGCCTGGCGGGCTTTCTGCCCAACCGTTGTTCGTTGGGATTTTCTATCCGTGTTTATTCGCTTGTAAACTTTGCATGTGCGATGTAGGATTCTTGTGACGTCATCCGTTGACATGTGGCATGCGTCGCCACATCACTCCCTCCCAAGACCGGAGGTCGATTCCGCTGAGACTGCTGTCGATGCTTGAGATGAGCGGTGCCAGAGCCAGTGTAGAACGTCCCTAGTTCCAGTGGGTCGGAACCGTGCCGCTGAGTGCCCAGTGAGTCGGGTCAGCGGTGCAGGGTGAAACTCCAGTGAGTCGGAGAGATACGTTCGCAGTGTCCCACGGTGAGTCGGGGAAGAGATGCTGCGAGGGTAGGTGCGTAGTGGCCGGCATCTGCGTTGACGGGAGGAGATGTCCTTCAGAACCGCGTGCAGAAGTGCTGTGCCTAGACGCTGGTGAGGCCGTAGGGAAGAACCAGGCTGCACAACTTCGTTGCAGGTAATGGTGGTCCCTGATGAGGCCGAGGATGCTGGTTGGCTGCGACTTGGTTACCGCTCAGCGGAGAAGTGATGAATGAGAGGGATGGCGATACGGATGACGGTGCTAATCTGCTCCGTGAAGTGAAGGTTGTTTCCAATCACGTCGGGGTCACCACTTTAGGGAACAGTGAGTATAGTTCCCTAAGATCGGAAAAGGAGGATCCTCTGACCAGGCGAGGTGATCGTGCCTGGCGGGCTTTCTGCCCAACCGTTGTTCGTTGGGATTTTCTATCTGTGTTTATTCGTTTGTAAACTTTGCCTGTGCGATGTAGGATTCTTGTGACGTCATCCGTTGACATGTGGCATGCGTCGCCACATTCCCAACTACCTAGTCAAATTCATTATTTATTTCTAGACGTCTAAGACAAATAGTTTTGTACGATAGAATACGTAATGACGTATTCACATAATTCTCGTCAAACTAATGACAATCAGGAATAAAGTGTTTCCAGAACTGTTAAATGATTGCCAGCGGTTGACTGCCAAATGATAACAGTCACAGACCTCGACTTGCAGAAATAAACTAACTCTTGTTATTTTACCACTAAGACGTTCAAAATCCTGATGAATCCCCTTCGTCTGCGGAAGGAAGCCAACTAAAGCAATACAGTTACAATAAAATGGAACCGACTTCAGACATTAACATTATTTATAGTATGTAACATTATGCCATTCTGTCACTTAACCGAGTCTACCAAATGGCGGTTTTGTCTCTACAATAGCTATAGGTAACTAAGTAGGACAAGAGAGCAATGTGCGATGTATGATTGTTTCACGTCGCGTCTGTGTGGCGGTAACTATCATTCGACATCCAAGCGTGGTGACTGGGTGTGCATATTGCTAACTTAGGGCTACCAGAGTGAAGGACTCAGCTCTACATGATATGATGACTTTGTGTCAGTATATCTGTGTATAATACCGGATCGTATACCGCACCGGCGCCGCTGGGTCTCGTCTTGGCAAACATTTTGTATATATTGATGGTTACGTTAGTGGTAGTGAGTAGCGGCTCCCACGGCCTTCCAGGAAGCGGGCGGCGCGGCGCCGCGCGGACAATACGCGCCCGACCTCAGTAACTACCTCATTAACGTAGTCTTTACCTACAGGCTACAGGCTACAGGCTACAGGCCTACCTACATTGTGGCCGCCTGGGACTGACTCGTGTGTCACTACTACTACCTATGTCTAAATACCTACCTCTATTACCTAACTAGGACGCCGTACTCTGAGTCACATCTTAAGTAGCTCGTTCGCAGATACAGGCAAACACTAACTGGCCATACAATCTATAAACTTGCATATTTTGTAAAATTAAGATAAAATAAATAATAAAAATATACAGAATGCTAACATATTTCTAGTTCGAAAATATCGAATTTAGTAACTCACATATGTAAAAAATTCCGAACAATTGACTATCTATTGCTGCATGGTCCACTCCGTCCCTACTGAAACTACTAACTAAAGTAACTGAACGAATGCACCTACAGATTAAGTGTTCAGCGGAGTTTGTTCAGCGCTGGTCAGTGAACGATATTACATTAAAAATGTATCGATACTTAGCTACAGTAATGTGGTGGCGTTTGTATATGCTACAGGTACTAGGTAGTGCAAAGTGAAGCGCTACTGACACAGCTCAATTGACTGACATCAACTGTATGAGTATAGTCAACTGTATATTTGTTTATGCTAGTCTGTAAGGGATATATCTATGGACCATAGTTGCCTGATAATAAAGGTTTAAATAAATAGTAATATCCTGCCAGGGATTTGCTGATAGGGAAATGATTCTTAAATATTTTTGTTTTGTCAGTTTTATTTGATTAAAGCATATCAGCACCATAAACATGGAGAACTCAAGAAATTAACAGTTTTGTACAAAAGTCATACTGTGATGTATACATTCTATTTAACACCACACCTACCTAGCATCCACACCGGGGTGGCGGGCGATGCCAACTATATACGGCCTGTACCGTAGCGTACCCATAGCGCGGAGTCGGAACGGGGTGTTAAATTAAATCAGTAGAGTCATACTCCCGGGTGAGGTGAGTTTCCTACCTCACAAAAAAAATACCATCCAATATAAAGACATGAAAGTAGTCGGTTGCCGAGCCACCGCACTAACCGTGCAGTATTGATAAATCTGCCGATCGATTTCGATCACGATGGCCAGTCTGTCTAACAGCCCACTACGCAGGAGGTATCAATATGATAGTGCACAAGTGTGTGCGCAAGGTGCACTCTCTGTTCCCTCACTCTCTGGACCCCACCGGACGACAGACCGACACGACCGGAGAGAGATGTATTAATGCTGACTTGTGACGTAACAATACCTGCGTGCAGGTTGCTGTCAGTCTGTCAGTATGCGTCAGGGCGCTCCGAGGTATTTCATTCTGTAGCTATTGGTACTGTACTCACTGCGTACCTAGTTGCTTGTGGCGTGTACCATGCGGCCATGGCTTAACTTATAGCAGAACTTATGTATAACATATAACAGGGCATAAGGACAGAAGCAAAAATGCTTTCTATTGCTGTTGGAAGAATTGGTGTGATACATTTACTGATACCTAAACGGTAGACAATATGATCTAATGTCTCCCCGATTGAGTTCTTGCCAGGACTAAGCTGTCGATCAACCGAGTGAGAGCTGTAAGTGCTATTACTTTGAGACCTTTTTATTCGTATAATTGTCAGTAATAACACGATGTAAAGTTCTAGACTCGTCTCTCATTACGATGGCACAAACAACAGTACCTGCGACCGCGCTGTACTTGGCAACGGTCCGTGGACCGTGCCAGCAGTGACATGTGTCAGTTGTGGTCGTGTGTTTGTATAGGGCAGATAATGTTCAACAACAATGCTCCCCGCGGCCGGCCACTACTAGCGGTGCAGCAATCAGTTAACGATGATGGCTCGTTACGAGTTGTTTATTTATGTTAGCGCGGCGCCCCGGGGTGCCGGGCCCGGGACAGACATGTCACAACAATTTTTTACATGTTGCATGTGTTCGCGGAAACTTGGGAGTTATAAAAAGCTGTCAGCTCAGCAATTTACAGCACTTTACTGCTAATACGATATTTATTGATTCCCGGGAGACGGCAACCGGATGATTTGTGACCGCCAGCCGTGCACATGTTCCCGGAGGAGCGCATCCAGCGTGTGTAGCGGCGAGCGAGTGAGCGCGCACGTAGTGCCGGGCCCAGGTGTGGCGCGGACTGGCCGGCTCGGTGGTAGCGTAGGTCGGGAGATGTTGTGTGATAAGACGCGGAGGCGGCGGCGCACGTGCTGATAGCGGCTTATCTCCCGCGCCGCGCACGCGCACAGCTGATCGCGTACACAACCTGCGCCCGCCGCCTCGCGCGCACCTCGCCGCCTGCACCCGAGCACACCCGCGAGCTATCATTAACATCATCGAACCTTTATTGATTCCGTTTCACAGACCGCTAATGTCAGCTGTGTTAACCGTAAATTCTATTGCAATAGTTACATTCTTCAATGCTGCTAATCAGCTAGTAATAAATATTACTATTTACATTGTGTGATAATTTTATTCGAAGCGAAGTGGCTGTGGAATAGCGACACAAGCTACAATAGTACGACGTACCAACGTCGCGTCGTGGATCCGTTAATTGTTAATAACGTTATATTAAAGTCGTTAGAAATATAAAAATGTTAAAGTCAATTTTGTGAGTAGATTTAATCATGCATAGATAGGTAACAAAATAGATTTCGTTGGCTGTTAATTTTACTTTTAAAGTATGTAAATCTTTTTTATTTATTTTTCTTTAGAATACGTTACTTCACCCTTGGGTTCTCTCTCATGTCGTAAGTGTGTTTACAATAAATAACTCTGCGTCTCCTACTCAGAGGACACTCCGTCCCAATTTCAAAAATAGTCAAAAAAATGTAAGTGAATAAAGGGGCGGGCTCGGGGTGTGCGCGCGTGGCGGGGATGATGCGCGTGCGCAGCGTCGGGTGGCGGGCGGCGGCCGGCGGCGGCAGTCTGCGCAGTGCGAGCGCCGCGGCCAGTAGTCCCGCAGTGACGCGTGAGTGACACACAGCGCACACAGCGCGCACAGCATGCTGCACGAGTCGTGGCCAGCGGGCTGGCACAAGACGGAGTCCTTCGAGCTGGACGCGCTGTTCGCCGAAGTAAACAACAACTGTTCCAAAGGTGAGGTCGTTACAGTGTGGTTGTGTGCGCCCGCCTCGTCTGGTGTACCGCAGTGCCTACTTTCGTTGGTTTCACGTTTTGAATTATGTTTATTCATAAATACTTGCACGTTTGAGCTATAATTATTGTCGTTCGCGATTCTTCAATAAGGAGTCTATTGAAGGTGAAGACTGAACAACTGGCCAGACGGCCGACATGTCGGTAAATATTGGTGCAAACGATGCATGAGTGCGTCGTGTCGTGAGGTGCTCGTATCGTCGTGATTCGTGAATACTCCTGTACCAGCCAAGTTTACTTTTACTACAATAATGTACACAATTATTATGTATAATTAAGTTATGGTTATATTAATGGAAGTAATGGCGAAGTCGTTAGTTAATAAGTGCTATTTTCTCCTGGATTACGTTTACACTGAAGTCACATCACTTACACTGCCTGTGTTATTGTATCTGTTGACATTGTTATTGTTATTTTAAACATTTCAGTTACGATGAGGATTAATTCTACTGAAGTAATTATTTAGATACTATAAAACCAAACGTTGTTACGTTGCCTTCACGTGCGTATTGATAATATTAATAATTTCAGCTTAATACAAGATACTCGAATGTGCATATGTTTATATTAGAACTTTCGCGAGACATACTAAGTATGTATATACTTAGTATGTCTCGCGAAAGTTTTCGTATGAAAACATAATAAAATGCATACTTGGAAAATAATTATGATATTTTGTTCATGCGTAGTGGAGGTAAATACTGTGGTCCTACACACCCACATACCACCTACATGTCAATGTCGGGACGGACAACATACATTTACTTACGTACAAGTTTATTATTACTCCAATGCTGCTACGATATAAGTAGGTACCGACACAATAGCATTGTGTGCGACAACTTCAATGTCGGGCAGTACAGTTACAGCTCGCAAGTTAGTAATAAACGCCAGCGCCACCAGTCGTCCATCAGCAGTCAGTCAGTCAGTAATGCAGTGTGCAGTACATTGTGAACCGTGACTACCGCGCGAGTAGCGGCGCGGGGCGGGCGACTGGCGGGCCCCTGATGCTTTCTATCTATTCGGATGATCACAAATAAAGCGGTGGTGTCAGTGAGCGCCAATCGGATCACAGTACTCTGCGCATGTGTGAATAGTAGCGACTAGCGAGTAACGAGGTGTGCGTGTGCGCAGAAGGCGAGGCGGAGTGCGGCGCGGAGGGCAGCGGCGGGGACGCGGAGAGCCCGCCCCCCCTGCCAGCGTTCGGCTACGCCCACGGCGCGCTGTCGCCGTCCCACTCGCGCAGCTACCAGGAGCTGCGGCCGGCCGCGGCACACGCGCGCGACATGCAGGCCTACGCGCACCTCGAGGAGGTGTTCAAGCCCGGCACGCCGGCCGCGCCCGGCTCCACGGACGGCGTCTACCTGCGCCGCAGCAGCCCCGACCTCAGCCCCTCGCCCGAGCGCCGCGACGACTTCCGCGCGCACTACGAGCCCTACACGCCCGCGCCCGCGCCGCCGGCCTACTCCCACGACCACCACCATCACGTCGACGGGTGAGTACTTGCACCATATTATATTACTGCACTCACCACTCACTCCATCACAGCCGGACCACCACTAATTGTATTACACATTACGTGACGTCGTTTGTCGAACCTCACCTCGGTCGCATCCTATTTTTAGTTTTATTTACAACTTAGTAGTTAGGTACCTAGCTATATGCGATCATAATACCGTAAATACGTATACTCAAATGCTTATAATTTGTACACAACGTATTGAATATTTCAGGGTAATTTCAGTATTTAAAAAGGCAATAAAATGAAAGTGTAGATAGGTGAGGGTAATAATATGTGTAGTAAATAACTTACACAATAAATATAATTCATCTTAGATACTGAATACTATTCCACACACTTGTAATCTAGTACAATCTTTGAATGAAACTATACATACGTGTAAGTACGTGCGTAGGCTTACATACATAAATATAAGTACAACATTCCACTCTGCCCCACGCGTTAAGTTAAGCTGTTGCCAGCAACAGTATTTGCAAGCAGTGATAATTGGACGAAAGCGATCAAAGAAAATGTAACAATGAGACACGTCCAGCTCGGACAGCTACATGAAGCTGTCGGGGTACTGTAGTGTCTGTGTGTCTCACACCCAGGGCCCCAACAGTACCGTCTTGTACTTACATCATCGGTGGAAACAATGTCATAATGTAAGCCATACAGTGGCGGGTTAACATGTACGTGTGATGTTGTCAGTTCGTTGTTAGTTAAGTTGTTAATGTCGTTGGCTGGTAGACTCGAGGTACCTAATTAGTAACATTGTGTTCATTGTAAACTATTCGTTAAGTCCAGTCACCAGTCCAAGTAGTCTTCTCCCGTGTCTCGTTCACCGCCAACTCGAACAGTCCTGATTAGTCAGCCAGTGTAAGTAGTGACAGTAAGTTGTTACCAGAACCAGGGGGGCTTGAATCCAATTCCGATTGGTCGAAATTGGTTTTGTGAAATTTCGTACTCTTGAGTTGCAATATTAGAACCCATTGTATCCGTATTGCCTGGATATTTAATGAACTCCATGGTGTTGACTCTGAATGTTATTTAAACATCTGCGAAAGGGGTTGTATAGTTTTGACATGAATAATGATTGAGATTTTATTGGATTGAAATTGAATTGACATTGAGATTGGTTTCGTAGAGTTCGCGTGAGAGTAAACACCCTAGCCGCGGAGAACCTAACGGGTAACCGGGGCTCCGGCTCGACGTGCAGGAGAAGGAACGGGGTGTTTTTAGTCAGTAAGATTCTGACACTCCCTTCCGCCTCATCCAGGCGGTAGCAGTCATTCGATGATTTTCCCCCTTAAAAAAAAGCACCCTGACCCGGGCGTACAGCGCGTCTTCCTCCACGCGCGCCTCACAGTGCCATCAGACCACCACAGATGAGGCCCAGTAGGGCTGATGCCCGATACGGAGCCGCGGTAGATTTAAAGGGTCGCCGGAGTTTCGGCTCGAAGACCATTTAAGTAATTGCATCAACATTTTCAGAGAGTTCCCCGAAAATGATTGTACATATAATTAAATAGTTCTTAATGCCTCTAGGGGCGCATGTGTAGGTACTTAGGATACGGAGGTCTCTGGCTACCTACTATAAGATAGTTCGTTATCTTTGTACTATCGATAGTAGTGTAACCTACCTACTTAGTTAATAAAGACTCCGTGCCCAAGGAAATTTAGAAAATGTATCAGATAGCTCGGCTCCTCTGATCAACGACACTGTCTCGCATAAGTACAAACATGCCGCGACGCTGTTAGTGCTGCGGAACACCAAGTTGCACGAGCTACTGAGTGGCGGCGTGTGGGCAGTCCAGCTGTTGCGCAGCGCTGAGGGTGTCGGCACGTCCGGGGCACGTGCGCGGTACGTGCGCGCGCGCCGCTTGCGACACGAGCCAGCATTCCGACGTGCCCGCGTCACACCACCGAACACATCGCCAGACACTCAATGGAAAACTCCACAGAGTGTGTGCAATACGCTGTTTCTCTTGTAAAAGTGCGTTGCAGTATGTAGCAATAGCTCGTTTGCAACCCCAGCTCGGGCCGGGCGCCCGGCGCTGCCCGCGCTCGCACTGGGCCGGTTGGCGCGGGAGTCGGTGCCGCGATAACGCCGCGGTGGCGGGCTGCGGTCGCCGCTAACTGCTCTTAATTTATTTATAACTGTTTAATTTGCTACAATTACACAGCGATGCCTCCGAAACTCGTTGATATTCATAGTACTAATGAAACTTGTTTGTTGGGAGGTACCTCAACCTGGCTGAATAATTACCTTTACACTTATCTAGTCGAGTAACAAATATTTGACTACCTATTTAAAGCGAAATACCTAGTTTAAATATTTTCACTTCGAAAACAAAGGAGTTAAGTAAGTAAGTAGGTACTTATGTAATATATTGTAATGTCAATTCGAGCGAGTCTTACCTACACATAGGTACACACTACAGTACTTACAGCTTCCTTACATTTACCGAGCAATTGCTAAATCATCATCATCAGCCCGTAGGTAGGTACCTATTGCTGAAAAAAGGCCTCTGTCACATGGGACCATGTCACAGATACGTTTTCGTCGTGGGTCACAGTTGTAACCACGTGTCGCGGTGAAACATAACTGCAAAGGTACATGTCACTTGGGTGAAATAATAATTTCCAAGTACTTAACAAAAAGACTGTCCCTTGATGGCTCCCCGACCACAAAAGTAGAATAAACCTATTATTACACGATTCGGTTAAACGTCGATGACAATTTGTGGAATCTACGATGTGGCCACGCAACCACGACACATCTGACTCCTCCTGCTCTTTCCCACGTTACTTGAAGTTGGTTTTCGTTCTAATTATCATTGGTCACGCAGTCTATCTGCCATTCCGGTTGCTCAGCTGCCGCAACAATCATGCAGTCCATTGATACTGAGACGCCATGCTACCAGCGCAGCGCAGCCTGCGAGTACAGCACGCCGTGCGCCAGCCGCACCGCCTGCCAGGATGTGGGCGTCCGGTGTCGAGCTGGTGACGTCATGCGCGACTCGCGGGGTACTTACTTGTACAAATATACAAGCACTAGCTTTTGCCCGCGGCTTTGCCTGCATTTCCGTAGGATAAAAGTATACAGACCACAACTTAATATCTTCTGATCCAAGACAGACCATACTCTGTCTCTGTTCCAAATTTCATTCCGGTCCCTTCAGCGGTTTTGAAGTGATTGAGTGACAAACAAACGCACAAACACACAAACTTTCACATTATGTATAATACATTAATGTCAGCAAGGTTTGTACCTGACTTCTTACACACTTTATCATGCATGTAACAGCGTACACGTGTACCTACATTAGGTATAATTAATTTTAATTCATCTAATTCACTTCAAATCTTCTCTGTACTCTTTTTAAAAGAGGTCGACTCAAAATGTAAAGGTTCCTGCTGCACCTATTCCTAGGTCCCAAATAGCACAGAATATAAACCATAAGTTACTTAACCATGCTTAAAACGTTCCAACTTGAAAAGCTTAATCAAAGAATCGGCGACATTGATTACTCACCATCAGATGTTATAGTGAAGAAACTGCAAAATTTGGATATTTAATTTTGGCGTCGCTGAATCGCGATATAATACCAGTATTTTACTATCTTGGGTTACTTTATTACATTTTTATTAGGGATTTCAATGTTATTAAATGTAATATAGACTAAAGCCTGTTTAGAAAAGATGCAGCTTTCTAATTGTAAAAAAAAATCGCTCGAGTAGTTTTTGTGTGAAAACGTTACAAACTGTATAATATATTATTAGTAGATACAGATAGATGATGGAAGACGTGTGACGTAGAGATATTTATGTAAATCACAATTATTTTACCGTTTTACATTATTGTAGTCTCATCTCATCATACCCCCAGACAGCTGGCAAAGCGCCACCGCTTTATGATCGATGGCTGGAAGTGGGTAAGGTGTCTTCCAAGGCCCGATTGAATAAGTTGCTTATGGTTTAGGCGTGTTCCATCACTTCCATCATTAGCCGCATCATCGCTTACCATCAGGAAAAGAAATGTCTATAATTTACAGAAGGTTGGGACGGGCTTTTTTACGGCTGGAGGTGGACCTTCAGGAGTGTGATCTCAGGCAATATGAACGTAACACTATGTTTTTTGTTTAAAAGCAAAAAGTATATGTTAGATAATTTATTTGTTTCATCAGGTGTAGTTAGTTTATTATACGGACCTTGTGGAATTTAAACGTTTAGGCGTTTTTTCCCTACCTATTATTGGATACATATATCCCAGCTCACACATAGGACCACCATAGTACACCACTTAGTTATAGTCATGTGGTGCTTGGCGACTTGGCTCCTTGTGCCTTCTGGCGTCATCCTATCTCCTACTTTAAACTCATCGATAGGAGTGGAGGGAGGAAACTATTTCCTTTTTTTCTTCTTCTCTATTAATATCTTCTGATCCAAGACAGTTGTTCATGTCCTTGGCACGCGCTGGACTTTAGTGTTCCGGTGTTTCTATGGTCGTGTCTAGTCTTTTTCTAAAGGAAGAAAATCATCGAATGACTTCTCCCGCCTAGTTGAGGCGAGAGGGAGTATCAGACTCTTACTGACTAAAAACTCGGCTCGACGTGCAGGATAAGGAACGGCAACCCCGGCAATCTGTTAAGTTCTCCGCGGCTCCGAATGGTTGTGCCTAGTCTACATGTCTAGTGTATGTACTACGATAGGTATCATTAAGCCGAATCTGTACGCTATGTTATTAAGAAATGAGTGGAAACACGATTGTTTTGGCCCGCATAGAGCGCGTCGTAGCTGAGTCCCTCAGTCCCTCAGTGCGTACACGAGTACGTTTGTAACATTAGAGAGAGCCGGATTGTGCGTTTCGTTGAGCGCTTTCTGCGAACAAGCAATGCTATCGTTCACTTCCTGCGGTGCGCGCGCGCCGCCATTGTGCGCAACGACACTTAACCTAGTGAGAGCGAGGCGCGCGCCCCCCGCGGCCCGCGCCCCCTGTATCCCGCGCCCCCGTGCTCACCCGCGCTAACAATATTGTGTTTGTCGATCCGCACTCTGGGATTAATTTATGGCAACCACTCTAACAGCAAAAGTAAACTCGCCCTCCCAACGCAGTCGATTGCTTGTGCAAATACGCATGGTCTCATTCTCGGGTATTTGCACTCCACAACATTTTTTGTACGCGCTAGGGTCGGGATAAAGTCGCGGGTCCCCTCGAGCAAGGCCCGGGCGGAAGCGCTGAGCCTGTAGCCTCGCAGTCGCATAGCATTGTTAGCAGATAGCTCGTCGTGCAGTCCCACCACACAACACTGTCTTCTCTGTCAAAGAGGACGGTGGTTTACGTGTTGGAAACCGAAATGTCAGCACAGTGGTGGCCGCGGAGGGTGTCGGGTGACGAGTGCGTGGGTGCCGCGCGCCGCCGCGTGAGAACATCTCCGCCTGAAGGCTCCACACTCGTATCTCGCCAACTATATTATGTCGCGCCGCGTCGTCGTACTCTTACACACACACACACACACACACACACACACACACACACACACACACACACACACACACACTACTAGCGCGAGCGTGCATAGCGCGGCAGTTTTATTATTGACTTGTTCTGTTTGAAAATAATTAATATCGTTAGGCATGTTTGCGTTTTCCTCCAATATTCAAGTTTGTTTATTGTTACCAATTAGTATAAGGAAAATCCCACTGTAAGCGGTTAACGACAATCGTCTAACTCTATTATTACTTTGTAAACCTACTTAAATATTTATTTACTTGTAATACTAGCTAAGTAGGTACTTATTTCTGTATGCAGCACGCTGGAAGCATTGCGGTTGCCGCACCGCTCTCAGCTAATGGCAAATTAAGGCACAAACACATTTAAAGGTTATTAACACAACTACATTTTTGTATTCGTTACTGTAACTACGTTATTAACTACCAGCGTATTTTGTGTGATGGTGCAGTAGTGTAAATGTCGGAAGTCTTATGCTCGTCGCTCACTGCCCACGTACCCGCGCTGTGACATTGACGAGTTGACATGTACTAATTACCTCAGTCAGATACACTAATGACATTTTGTAAATGGCCTGAACTCGCTGCGGACTGACGAGACTACCTCGTGTTTCAGGCCGAGACCTCGCTAGTGCAATGCGGGCTGCGCGTGCGCCGGCGCTCGCAAGGTATTTGTCGGAGCGACACTTTTTGTGGTCGTCCCCTTCTAATGCGCCATTTTACACGTTTTAAGGGTTCTCGGAGCTTTACCAAATTTGTACACATTATTTTTTGTGGCTGTTGAGAGACGGTTTAAGTGTCTCGAATGAGTTATTTGTATAGGTCTTTAACGTTCCGGTGCGGGATTAGGCCGATGATGCACAAACAACGTCGGGCTCGGTCCGACACGTCTCGCACACCTCGGCCCCACGTGTGCCGGCGCGGCTCGTGGCGCGTGCGACGGGATGCGGGCTACAAGCTCCGGCACTCGCTCACTCAGCCATTACCACATGCTGGTAGTATCGCGCCTCAGTACCACTGCCACGGACGTCACTATACATCACATGTGTGTATCTGGCCGTGTCCAGCTACTGAGCTACAGTAATACTCTATGGTGACAGCGTAATGAGCTAGCTACTGCTCCTTAGTAGGTGAACCGTGTAAGTGGGCATAGTATCGTAATAGTGCGAGGCGGCGCGGTCGCTACACTTCCGCGTTCTCCGGTACGTGGCCACTGGCGGCCGCCGCAGCCACGTCACACGTACATACTGCAGGCACTCGGGGCCGCTCCATATCCGTCGCGTTGTTGCTCTCGTTAAGGTTTATCTCAGGGAGATGTGTCACTATACCTTTGTCTCTGGACTCTGGTACAGCAGCGGACACGTGACTGTCGCTTCCGAATGGACATGGACATTGGAACAATGGGCTGTCTGGTATTGTAAATGTGATCGAAACACAGCGTGTGTGGAAGCCCGCGCCAGCGTCGCGTAATGAATGCAAGCGGGTCGAGGGCGGCGCGGCGCACGCGCGATAACGCACACTTACTTCCGAGACGTTCCGAGCCATTAGCCGCAGTGCGCTCTACTTAACAGCTACACGCTCGGTACTAGTCGGCACTAGTCGGTACTCAGTGTTCTCTAACGAAGGTAAAATGTTCAATACTAGCGACCGGAGCCGGCAGCCGTGTAATGTGCCACCGACGACCGAGTTGCTTACCAACGCGACGTCGAAATAGTCGCCTTCGAACACGAACGATTTATGTATATGTGTGCCTACATAACTACACTCATGTAAATGTGTTTTCTAAAGCAGAATAAACAAATAAATAAAAGGAGTAGGACATGTATGGAAGTTACTCACGTAGGTATAGAAATTGAGAATGTGAATTCCTTGTTACGCCCCAGTTTTGTGAGCTTATGAGTGTTATAGACTTTTATATATATATATATGTAATATATGTCTGTATGAGTCGAGTCTGTATGAACGCGACTTGCTTATAAGTATAAAACAACTTGAATAAAAATTGGACTCGTTTTTACATGACGTAGGTAAGGATCATACCTAATTAATTACATATTTGATCGTTTGCATTACATCTAGCGCTGGAACGCTGGAACATAGACCGAGTCGCAAATCTCTTTCATCATTGGAAAGCTTAAGGAAGCTCTACGTTTTGGGGTCACCTGGCATATTGTAATTGATATCCTGACTTTATAGGATCAAGAACGGGATCTACTAGAGAGAATTCTTCTAAACTCTACGCAGACGTAACCACGGGCGGAAAGTTGTCGGTCCTTAACATATTACTTAAAACTTATAGAAAGTACAAGAAAGCGTACGCGTTCTTCGATGCTTTTACTCAAATTTTAAAGTTTTTATTGCGTTATAACTTATAACCTACTCGCTAGCTTTCCACCCGCAGCTTCATCTGCGTGATCGAAGGAAAAAGTTAGTATCCTATATTACTGTCACACCTATCTACCTCCAAACATGTGACGTCATTCACTCGTGAAATTATTTACAAAACGTTCCGTTGCAACGCTAAACGTGCTTTGTTTATTGAACAAAAATACATCTTGTCAATTGAAATGTCAAGCGAGATAATTTATCTTTTACTAGCTACCTGCTGGAATATGCATGGATACATGCATTCATATTCCTTAAGAATCATTCTATCTATTGAAGGAAACAGCATCAAAATCCGTTGCGTGCGTAGTGTTAAAGATCTAAGCATACATAGGAACAGACAGACGGCGGATAGCGACTTTGTTTTATACTATGTAGTGATGTAGAATATTTCTGTCATTTATGACACAAGACAATATATCCGAGGAATGCAAGTATCGCGAGGTGGGGGCTCAAGCGAGATTTCACGTGATTACAAATTACAACCCCGCGAGATCTTGCCAATGTCGAGATCTCGCAAGATGGCAGTTTTGTGTGTGTTTTTGCAAATATCCATCTTATTGTTTGACTAATATTGTAAATGCGGTCAGTTTGCTCAATACGGCAACACGGCTGAAAGATCGCGTTGAAACTTGGGATAGGGATAGACTACGGCCTGGAATAACACGGAGGACACTTCTCACCCCACGACAACGCGGGCACAGACGGAGGGGGAAGACACTTTTTTAAATAATTTTTAAGTAGTGTACTACTTCCACTTTGACGCATGTAACTATCAAATGACAGCTAAAACAAACATCTAGTCGTCTATTATATCATCAAACAAAATCCTTAAGCAAAGCAATCTCGTTAATTTCGTGTAATCTCGTCCATTTTTCGATCGAGATTAATCTCTCCAAAAATGGACGAGATACGTAATCGTCAATATTATTTAATATCAGTCGGCTGCGTCACGTTCTGTTATTGCTGTTGATCAATTGGTTCGGACGGAAGATTTTGGTGATAGTAAAGACAATGCTCTTTAATTATCTCATCGTGTTTATCTGAGCAGTCTAGTTTAATTATGTGCTAGTGGAAACTACTCTACATTGTCATATAAAATAGGTTTATTTAAGTGCTGAAGAACAATAAAAATAAAGGAAATAGGAAGTTATTTTTTGTTTTTTAAAAAACGTTGCCCCACACTAGCATTCTCTCCTGTGTCATAGTGCGTTTACAAACATACAAGTTTACATACAGTCAGATACACATGACACCCAGACCCGGAACAACAATTTGTGGATCACACAAAGAGTTGCTCTGTGCGGGAATTGAACCCGCTACACGCCGCTATAGAGCCGTTAACCATCTACCGCACCAACCGTGCAGTCAATATGTCTTATATATATACAATTTTGTAGAATTTGTTCCATTAGCCTGTAACATGGGCGAGTTCAAGCTCTGATGTATAGATTCGTGTTGAGTCATCCATCACATATTTATTTTGCAGTGGCGGAGGGGGTAGCGGAGGGGGAGGAGTCTATTCACGCTGCGCATACGCAGCTGGTTCACCATACTTCGGTAACGGTGCCGAGATTAGCACGCAACCGCAGATCTGGACATCTAGTGCAGGTACAGTGAGACACAGCTCGGTGTCAAGTGGCCGTCTACGGGACGCTGTCGGTGTACTATGATGTAACATGTGAGTCTACCTTGCAGGAGGATCCCCCAGCTACGGCGGCGGCGGCGGCGTGGTGCTGGGTGAGGAGTACGCGGAGGGGGGCGGCCAGGAGGGCGCGGGGGGAGGCTCGCTGCCAGCCTTCAGCGCGCGCTTCGGAGGCGCCTTCGCGTGCGCCACCTCGCGCCCCAACACCGTGTACGGCACCAGCACTCTCACCGCGCCGCCGTACTCGCACCAGGTCAGCTTGGACTCTAGAGTGATACACCCCTACTCCTGTCCACGGACTGTTACCCGCAACATAATATATATCCTACATACGACCTGCACCAACAAGCCGCTTCATCTGTTTCCAGGAGGTTTGGAACTTGGAGAGCAGTCGACGACCACAAATGTCTGCAGCTGCCAGTCTGTCTGCCAGTAAGTCGTACATCACATACTTTTCTCGCAGAACTTGAATGATATCTGAATATTTGTACTGATCTCTAATTCTCTTTATTAAAATGCATTACATAAAATAAACAAAAAGGACGTAATTAGGTATTTAATGACTTAGGCTCGCATCTGCGACCGACCCGCAGACACCTACTAGAGTTGGCGATAAACACATGGTGACTAAACAACACAATGATTGTGTCGCGTGTTGAAGTTCACTCGGAATGATTCACAAGCCGCTAGGCTTACAATGTGTATACACAATACTTCCTAATATAAAAATACATCAAGCCGTTTGTACCTCCTGGAAAGGGAGATTCGTCGTCAACTTTGAGCAGTTTAGTACACATTATGGAAACCAATGTACAAAAATAGGAAAGGTAGACATTAAACCTGTCCAAATGTCCATAGCTTCAGGATCAGCATCGGCGCTTGACGCTGCCATATTGTCTATAGTCCAATAATTCAGTCAGTCCAAGCAGTTACACAGGACCGTCGAACAAGTTCCATACTTAGTAGGTACATAAACACAATATATCATCAACCACCTTTACATCAAAATCAAAGGTACTTATTCCATATGTTTAGGAACGAGTGCTGCCGCACTATATAATTAAAGAGTGAATCTATTTCTGAGTAATTCGAGTCTTTTAGTCTAATTCTTTTAGATTCAGGCAAAGACCCAGTCCACGGTCTGCGCTGATGCTTCTTGATCGACAGTCACAATATATCACACTTACCTTTGCGCAAGAAACGACAAAACATGAATATAATTCGTGCTGAAAGTGTTCTGGGGAATAAAACTAACAGCAGAAATCGAATAACGGCTTCAGGCTATTTCTCGTTGGATGAATAACTTCAATAAACTGTTCCCCTTCATGTGGATGTGTACAGTTACCCGCGTCGCACGTCGGCGTCAACAAACATAGCGGCGATAAAAAATTAGAAGTTTTGATGTTCAGATACGATCATAGATAGCAAAAGAGGGGTTCAGTTTCGGGCCGGGGAGGGGGTGGAGGGGACCGGGGGGAGGTGTCGTGTCATGTTTTTGTGGCAGGCTGGCAGGTCACGCAGCGATAGCCCGGCCCGCGTTACAGCGCCCGCGGTACTCGTACTGCTGCGCCCGCGCATCTCCTAAACTTCCGCCATGTTTTTATACATGAACCGATAGATAAGTATTCCCAAAAAATAAGAGACTATAAACACAGTTCCGACAATATTTACGAGCGTTCGCGTGACGGCCCGTGTCATAATTTAGAGAGGCCACTTAAACCTTCATCCGTCCTCGCGGTACAACGATCTCGACTTTATTACTGTTTTGTGACCCTTCAACTTCATATTATTTCTCTGAATAGACTTTGATGAAAAAATACTTCAACCTGTTCATGACTATACTTAGAAAAGATAGAATTTTGTGCGCGCGTACACGTTATATTTGAATCACATTGTAATAGAAAGACATTAATTGTTATACTCGATTAAGGGTACAGTGTATGTATATGTAGATATGTACGTGTGTGTAATGGTGTAGTGATAGAATGTACATTTTTGTATTCCTCAACTAGGGTTGCCACCCGTACTTTATAATAAAGTATTGTACGTTACTTAAGGTAATTGTACTCTATACTTTATAAGAATAATAAAGTACACAAAAATACTTCTCCATGCCGGGACAACCGACAGACTGACATTGTTATATTAAATGATTTTACTTATCTAAACCGAACAAATGACACGTGTTGCTCTGCAACGACTGGACTGCTGGCCATCAGTATTACAAATAATTAACTTAATTATAATTATAATATTCGCAAATTGTAGGTGAAAATGTAGCACGATTCAACACTAATACTTACTCTGTTATTGAACGAAAATTAAAGTTAAAATATTATTAATTTACTTACACCTTTTTAGCAAGCTGTCCAGCTTGTCTACTACTTTCGAAACCAAAGATTCATGGCGGTGTTTGAACCGTCGCCGTCGTTCTAGGATTGTGACGACGTGAATGGACTGTCGCACACTAATACGAAGGGACTTTCTTGAAATTCTATCAATAAATCATCGTCGTGGGGCTGTAGGACTCTGCCCAAGGTATTGAACATTCTCAAAATCCCACTTCCTAAGCTGTGTTTCAATATTGTAGTACATTTATAAATAACTATAACATTGTCGCTTTGTATTATTCACGGAGTCGAGGTCATTATTTGGATGACGACTGTTTTAATATTAACAATAACATTCCTGTTTTCCGTGACTTGGACATCTAAACCAACACGTTAAAGAAAACACGGCGCGGCGAGTAGAGCGGCACCGTGTTACAGTAGCGGTCTCGCGAACAAGCTCCATACAGCACTTGTCTAATTAGTACTTTAGTATTGTTCGCGGTTTTCCTGCTGAGTGCAGCCGAGCCATTGATAGAGGCTCGCTGGAGCCGGCGCCCTCGTAAACCAACGACACAGTCGCGCCGCGCGCCGCTCCGACTGTTTGCATAGGTCGCACCAAAAAAGCCATGTCTTGTTTTAAAATGAAGTCGTTCTTTTTAAGCACATTAAAATCGCATTCCGTAAATGGTATCGGATAAGGCACGTGCCGCGCAAACAGTCGCGCGTCCGGCCGCAGCCGAGTCTTCTGCTATCGCTACAAACAAAGCGGGCACAAAAAACAATCGTCGACCACGTACAGGCCGCGGCCTGTCTCCGCATATTTGCTGACTGACACTAATGTGCGGTGTTATCACGCGCGCGCCGCCAGATGGAGCCTTATCGCAGCAGGACCAGCGCAGCGCCTTCCGAGTTCCGACACTACCATTAGGACATAGCTGGCCAGTGACGTCACACGCGACCCTTCCAAGCCGCTACAAACATACCAGACCATGTAACTAACCAAAGCAAACTGAAATATACAAGAAACAAGAGAAAAAAATATGAAAGAAATAAAGGACAAACGTAATAAAATGAAAAACTGAATACTTCAGTCTTTTCAGGAAGTACTTGGTATCACCCGAGGAAGATTTTGATTAGTGTCGCTAGCTGCTGCTATTGTTCCAGTCAAGAAGAAAAATGTTACGTGAACTAGATTAGTTCCTAGGTCGCATTCAGCAGCATTCGCACATCACGCAAACTCAAACAACAAGGACCCAAGTAAACACGTTGGTATGAAGGAGCACACAGTTAAAATAGTTAGAGTCGGAATGAGGTCCGCTTGCTTTAATGGCATATTGTAGTGCAGGCGTCGCTCGGACCGTGAGTACAGTCAGCTGCAGCCGCGAGCGACCCGTGCCCGCGCACCTACTGCACCGCTGATTGACTGTACTCAGGTACTACTTGGTACATAGTACGTAGTCTGCAGTTAAATCTTGTTCTGTGTGTTGACTCGTATATCAATAAGTATAGCGATAACGTAACGAGTGTGCGCGCTGGCTGCTCTGCGCCTGCGCACATGGCCGGGCTCTCGTTACAAACACCAATATAATGACCGGCTAATGACATCTATGTTTATGCTTATTGCGAGTAATCGGAACCGCGCCATTCATTCCAGCCAAATGTCTGTCGAGTGGTGTGCGTGCGCGATGTGTAACTGTAGCGCTGTGGACCACGTGTCACGTGACGGACGTGGGCATGTGTTGCGGCGCGGATGTGTAACGGTCGTAGATTCCATTGAAACTGTACGCCCGACATCGACGCGACCTTTGTTGCGTTGTTGGGAGCTGGACGCTGGCCCCAGTGCGATCCATGTGCTGCCTGGACTAGTACACGTACAGCTCCACAGCCCGCCTTGCACTCATCGTTTTCTGGTTGAATGTCGAGCAGTCGATACATTCTCTACCTTATTGGAGTTCATTGCGTTGCATTGCTAGTATTACCTATTTGAATTGCATTTTCTATTCCGATTCCTTGTTTTTATAATACCCATGTTCTACTATGTAGATAAATAGAATATGTTTGTCAAACTTAGTTCACATTGCGTGATATATGCTCGCCAAAAGGGCTTGGCATGAAACGATAGTAAGAGATAGTATGTCCATTATGACCTGGAAGTTGGGAAGCTCTTTGGTGTGGGACGCACTGCGTCGACACCCTTACATCTTCTCACCTTCCAGTATCGGCGGTTTGTGCTGGTTCGGAAGCTGCACTACAAAAACCGCAAGCGGCGCAAGTATAATAACACGGAAGTATTAAAAATGATATATATGATAACAACCTTACTGGTTATTATCTTTTTGAGCCGTTTGGGGTTGAATCATTAGGTCCGCGGGGTTCGAATGCCCATACTATATTTAAGAATATGTAAAATGCCTGGTCGACGTATCTCGCGACCAGAGGGTTGGTCTGTTCTTCGGTCAGAGTAGGATGGGCAGTGTATATAGGGAAGAGTATATTGAGAAGGTATCGTAATGAAATCTTTGTAATTTCAATATTTAATTTTTAAGTACAATATTCAATAATTAATTTAGTTATTTTATTTATTTTACTTTATTCAGGACACAAACAGTGTCAACAAATACATTATTACAATATAATTTGATACAGACATACTCGGAGTTCCATAAGTACATAAAAATGGACAAAGTTTTTGCTAGAAAATTAGCTTCTGAGCATGTATACTAAAAATGTACGCGTGTAAAATAACTGCGGTATGATTTCTTTACTAGCGCTGAGTATATTACTGCTTAATTTTAGATTTATACAAATTGCATTTAAACTGGTGTTAAATATGTATAGTTCATTCAATTTAGTTTTATAAGTGCTAACACTGTGCTTGAAAAAGTTGTTACTTGTGTACCTATATTGTTTTATGAGAGGGTACTGAACACAATGTTCTTATATTATAGTCACCTAATTAATTTTAACCCGATTCTTGAAAGAAGGTTATCTTTGGGTTTTGTCTCAAGAACACTTCGTCCGATGTTCACATTTTGTTGGTAATCCTTTGCTCGGAGTTATAAAACAGCTCGCTGCTCTTTCTAAACAATATAATTACGTGTACAATATGTATGTGTACGCTACACGCACACACGTACACTAGTAGCCACACAACGGATCATAGAACTGAGATGTCTTGCACTGAATATGTTGCTATATTGTTTTGACTGTGGAACGTGTTGTTTATAAATGTGTTCTCTTATTCATTGAGTCTAACCAGAAAAGATTGAACTATTGTTTACCCGACTGCAAAAACATTTTTTTTTTCTAAACACATTAAGCAGAGTACCTATCATATCAAGGGGAGGGAGTGGGGACGTGGGGTCATGTATAGCGATGTCAAAAATGTATATGACTTGTTATTGTGACCAGTTTTTATTTCAATAAATCCATAATGAAAAAAAAATCGTTCGATCGGAGTTATTAGATTCGTTTGATCGAGTGGCTAGCCCTGCAATAATAAACTACTGCCGTCATATTACACCCAAACACGGAACAACACTGTCGACCACACTAATAAATTGTTCCGTTCTGGAATATATCTCATGACACTACTCGCAGTAGCCGGGCAGCTTGGCCATATCTCCCACCACATCTTATAGGTAGGTGACTTCACGTCACCGCCCTGTAGTTTCATGAATAAATATATAGATGTTACCTTTCGGAAAATGTATATTTTAGGATTTTCTGAGTTAGGGATATATGTTCTTAACTAGATATGTTTGTATATTTAGTAAGCCCGTGCCAGTGACAATGTTTATTATTCTTGTACGGCCAATGTTTATTGAGAAAGTATCGAGCGAGAAGTGGTTCGGTCGCCGCGTGTAGTGGTCGCGGGCTCGAGGAAGCAATGGTGGTAGTGGAACAATGGTCGGTCAGATGTCGGGTCGCCGCGGCCGGTCGGCGGCCGAGGTGTGACGTCACGCGTCCTTGCGTCGCAGCGCTGCTGTGTCAGCTCGCGCGCGCACGTGCGCACACGCGCATCTCTCGCTGAGTCACCAGCGCGCAGCGGCAGTACCGGGTACTGTCTGTACTGTCACTGCCAAGGTCGCGGCACGTTCATATATTCTGTTGTTTTCTTTAGAGTCACACCTACTGTCCGTACTTACTTATGTACTACTAGCCATCCAATAGTGTAGGCACATACATACGGATACTATTGGATGAACAAAATGTGTTCACGTAGTTGTGTAGAGCAGACAGCACATACATAATAAACAACATTTTTCATTCGGTTTTTTAAGCACTACAATTAAATAATAATCTGGCGCCGATTTGAATTTGATCTAAAGATGGAGCCGAGGACATTGGACCTTATACAGCTTGATTATATTGTATCGATGAGGTAAAGTCTCATCGACCTAGTCTTATTTATTTTATTTATAATGATGGTTGTGACAGTCGTTAGGGCTCCTCCCCATTGACGCATTACCCTCCTCCAAGTTGGTCAGTGGTGGAGAACATCATCATCTGTAGTACCATTCGTTTCTTTTTGTTCGCCTCATCGTTATCGTTGTGCTGACGTATACAACAGCCGGTCTGTAATCGTGATGTTGGCCGTTATGCAGAAATGTTCGCATTAATGACATCATACGTTGTGCAATGACGTTATCAGGTCGCTGGTGGCTGGTTACTGGTTTGGCAAATGACAAGTATTGTCAGCCAACGTGGCCATACTGTGGCTGGTTGTTTGGGTACTTTACCTCTCGACTGCGATGAAACTTTATGTTGTAGTAAAATGTTGTTTTTATATTTTATTGAATAATCTGCAGTGCGGCCTAAGCCTGATATTAATCGTGTCTATGCTTATGTGTAGTCTCTGTAGTACTCTGTAGAAAACTATTCAGTGTTGCTCAACTAGGTCAGTCTATTTACCGCTTAGAAGGTATGTAGAATGTAGAATAGCAATAGTATTATATGTATGTACTTTGCACGAGCAGAATATACTACAATATCAAATACTAAATAAAATAAAGTAAGCTAGGAGTACTTACTCTGGCGGGTTAAATATATTAGATGTAAGATCAGCAGAATGTTTGACCTCCGAATGGGAGACGTTGTTCTAGTTGTCCTGTGTGTGTGAGAGTAGTAAGGTTTGGACGCTCGGCAGTCGGCAGTCGCAGGTGCGAGTGACTTGTAACTAGCGTGTGTTGCGCAGTCGACATGGCGGCGGAGTTTTTCACGGAGGGGCGCGAGTGTGTGAACTGCGGCGCCATCCACACGCCGCTGTGGCGGCGCGACGGCACCGGCCACTACCTGTGCAACGCGTGCGGCCTCTACAACAAGATGAACGGCATGAACCGGCCGCTGAAGCAGCCGCGGCGGCTGGTACGTCAGCGCCTCGCCGCGCCCCACGCGCCCCCGCACGACGTACGCAACATGTGCTCACTAACCCCGCGTATCCCGCCCCGCGCCCCCGCGCCCGTGAGATCCGCGCCCGCCGAGCGTCCACTCCTACTGCTCGTTTGCGCTCCGCTCAGCGCTCAGTCACCCTTGTTCTGGTTGCAGTGGCCGCGGAGGGGGCCCCGCCGGGCGCGGATTTCTACAAGGGCTTCCTGTTTAACGGCATGGCGACGTCGCACGCGCACGCGCTGCCCGCGCCCGCGCCGCTCGCGCACCCCGCGCACCAGCCCTCCACCCCCTCTGACTACAAACAGAAGAAAGGGGTACGTGCCCCGCCCCACTGCCCCGCCCCACACCCCGACCTGCACCCTCACCTAACGCCCGCCCACTAACATCCATCGCTTCTCTATCTAACATCACCGTTATAATTTTGTACTTGGTCATGCATGCAATGTCAATAGTAGTAATGTGCTGACGGTAGCGACAGTAGAGTAGAAGAAGTAACGAGGCACTTGTGGCACACAGATGGGCACGAAGCGGCCGGGCATGTCGTGCACCAACTGCCAGACGACGACGACGTCGCTGTGGCGCCGCAACTCGCTCGGCGAGACTGTGTGCAACGCGTGCGGCCTCTACTACAAGCTGCACAACATCAACCGACCGCTCGCCATGAAGAAGGACTCCATACAGGTACGGTACATGACTATTGCGACCTGCCTAGAAAGTTATCAAAAATGTCTTAAATCATTTCAGTTATACATACAGTTTTATTTTAGTTATATTTACATAAAAAAGTTAAATATGCCATTAATCTACTTAAATATTGGTACGTTCATGTTCTACCGACCCACGATGAATATGTAACTACCTATTCGTGTTCTTCTAATATTTGAAATCGAAGTTTCAAATATAATTTATGTATTTTTCAGACTCGAAAGAGGAAACCCAAAAACAGTATAAAAGCAGAACGAAGTATAAAGGCAGCAGTGCAACGCACCGTCACGTCGGGAGTGAAGATAGAGAACTTGTGTGAGTACCCACAGGCGCGGCCTAAGTACTGCTACACAATGGTATGTGCGCCACATACCATTGTGTAGCAGTACTTAGAGTTTTCCAAAACGATACTACTCAATCTTATTAGGATAGGCCTAGACTTCATACTCGGTAGGCAGTCCGTCTATTGAATCTTAAACATGTGAGTCTCTTACTAACCGACACTTAGTTCTGAGTTCGGAATAATCACGTGTAAAGATGAGATTAGATAAAAGTGTCAAAATGTGAAAAACAAAATATGTAGGTTGTCAAAATTTGCATTATGTATGCACCAAGAAGACTATGTGATATGCGTTAAACTTGTTTATGTGTATGCCTGAAACACGCGCTAAACATTTTTGAACAAATACGCATAAAAAAGATAATTGAGAGAATGACTTGGAGTCTTCGGTGTAATTTTTGGTGGAAAGTATTTGATAACAAACTTTAAACTCTGGCTTTGAGCACAACGTTGTCTTTCTATTAAAAATAGTTTAGTTTTTTTTGTTGTATAGTCACTTCGCCATATTAATACCGTGATAGAAGAAGTTCTTAAGTCCTCATGAATAGATTACAATCCACATGATAACGATTTATAGAATTAATTATCGACTTACTTCTAATCGTTCGTACTGATCAAATGAGTTGCGTACTTGCGTAGTCAGATCGTTACGACATATTGTTTTAGTTACCCCGACAGGGTAGGCAGGGATGCACATCTGCAACATAACACTTACTTTCCAGACCTTGTGCTATTGTTAAGAATTTTCGCTTTCCTGAACCGAAAATCAAACCCGAGTTCTATGTTATATATTTCATATTAAGTCATAATATTCTTTAATTCGTGGTGTACGGTCAATCTCTCATTTCATTCTGTATCTATCATTATATAAATGTTTTATTGGAATATTGGTTTTCTATCTCTTACGCCAATATGATATGAAAATTGTTTTGCAGTTACGTTCAAAATGCAGTTACACGAATTGTAGTATTCCGGAACCTAATAAATAATGAGGCGGCGCATCAGAGATACATGGAGGTTACACAACAGTAAACTAAAACACATTGCAGTTCGTGTACCTGTAAAAAATAGATGCGTAGGGTTACCCGATCTCATGCTATACAATGCTACGCAGTGCTCGTAGTACCACGCATTGCTACGTTGTGCTACGCATTGCTACGCTGTGCTACGCATTGGTACGCTGTGCTACGCATTGGTACGCTGTGCTACGCATTGGTACGCTGTGCTACGTAGTGCTACGCAAGTCGAGGTGTCGTCTTCGGTTCCATCCAGTTGTATTCCATAGTCATAACGTCACGTTGCTGTTAGTAAAAGTCCAAAGATAAACCAATCGAAATACCTACCGAGAGAATTATACATCACACTTAAATATAAATGCAAAAACGTTTAGTGAGTTTGTGTGTATTTAGTTAGGAAAATTTAAACCAAAAACATCTGTTTCGTTGGTTAGGGAGTAGTTCGATTATTGAGTCGGGCAAAATAATTATTAAAGTTAAGTCTGATTTCAGTGCGAAGTTTGGAATGATTCGTGATTATGTAGCATGGAATGGTATTTAAGGTGTAAATTATGTGTTGGATAGATGCCATAATATTATGATTATTTATTTCGTTGATCGCGCGATAATAGAACCAGCAACATATTGTTAATTTGTGTTAGTAGGCAGTAGGTACACGTGACAATCGAAGTAGTAGATATAACGACCGCAGGAAAATTACCATTTTCCCTTTTCAGTTCCCTTCACAGTCATACATGTTTGTTGAGACAGCACAGGTCGTGCAGCAGCATAGTGTGCCTGCGCAGGGTTTGTGTTAGACGTGCAGTAGCTAATGAATGTCGTGTGCCGCAGTGGAGAGCGGGGCGGGCGCGGGCAGCGGCGGCGCGCGCTCCCCGCTGGCGCTGAACTACTACGTGCAGCACGCGCTGAAGGTGGAGGAGCCGCCGCCCGCGCACGCGCACGCCGCGCCGGCGCAGCACGCGCACGCGCACGCACACGCACGCGCACACACACGCGCACGCCGCGCTGTACGACGAGGAGTACCGGCGCGCGGCCGACGAGCGCCTGGAGCGGCCCACCGTCGTGTCCATGGGCAGCTGAGCCGCGAGGCCGGCGCCGCACTTATAGAATCTCACTTGTCTAGATACGTTACGTTACTTAGTACATAGCGCACACTCGCACTCTTAGCTCGAAGTGAGTGTACCGACTGCAGCGGTCAGTCGTGTGTTCCCACTGTTACCAAATAATAATGATGTAATAATAAGCGATGAGACTGTATCTGCTGAATTATTCCCGGCGTTCCTAGCGCTGCATTCCTAGGTAGATATAGATAGCTTCTTATTTACATATAATTATATTATATAGTGTTCTGAAGAGGCTGTATTGAATGTTTCGTAAGTAAATTTTATTTTATGTTGATCTATACAATTTATATTTTTATAAATATTTAGCAGAGGTGTGTACTGACACGGCGGTTTATTTAAGTCGACATTTCAACGCAAATATCGGCTTGAGTATTGTGCATAATACGAGCCGTGTCAGAACGCACCGAGCGCTAGCCGACATTAATGTTGCTTAGGCATATAATCGTTAACTCCATGACTTCGACAAGCATTCCATGAATGATCTGACACACACAGGCCACGCCACGTTCACGCCACGTCCACGCCACGTCACGTTCACGTCTGCCTGCATTCGCACGCCGGCGTGCCTCTCGTGGTACCTCACGCAACCCAAATATGAAATATTAGCTTTTGCCTGCGACTTCGTTCACACAAACAGGTGCATCTCGTTCTCGTAGTGATTCCAGTTTACAAAACAAATTTGTTGTTCCGTCCATTAATTCCGGAGATTAATTATTAGCGTGTCCAAATGCAAACAGACAAACTGATATTTTTCGATTTTTTCTAACTGTATCTCTATCGCCCTACTTTTTTATTGGAAAATCTTTTATGTGTAGACGCTTTTTCGACTGTTCTATAATGTACTGATAATATAAAGAAGTTTTATTTTTATTGTAATGAAATGAAAGTGTTCCTACTGGCATTCACATTGTGTAAAGTTTCGCATATGGGCCGTGGTAGTAGTATGTGTGTGTGTGTGTGTGTGTGTGTCTGGTACTGAAGTAAGTGACCGCGGGGCCGCGGCCACTGCCCGGCCTCTAGTAACGCAAAGATCTGAAGTACCTCTCTACCGCATTAATCCGAATTATAATATAATAATAGTGTTTAAATGAATTACTTATTTGTAATTATGTTTTTATATAATGTCGACTATTGTTGCATGTTGATAGAAAGTAATATATAATAATAAAGTTGAAGTAGCTATATGTTGAAGTGTGGCTGTCCGTCGGTGTACGTACAAGGTCTGGCGCGCTTGCGCAGTCGCCAAATGTTACAGTTTCAATACATAATGTAAGTGTAATGATGTGATGTTATAGATATTTATGCGTTGACGGAGAGTCCTAGTTAAGTCTCATGTATCTGTGTAAATATTATGTAAGTGACAACAAGTACACCTTGGATTAAAGGTCAATCGAAACTGACGACTACTTTCATTCAGTGCCCCGCACTCCCGCACTCCCGCAGTCCTACGGTTCCTCCTCCCTACTAGTCCCTACTCCCGCACCGACAGGCTCGTCTCGTCTCATCTGTAATATAACAGTATTTATTTAAGTAAACAGTATTTAATGTTGACTACTTCAATCTCTTCGTACTAAGTTTTGTAATATTTTAATGGACTTTACAAGTCTGAGAATGAAGGAACGTAGGGCATTTGTGTGCAGATATTTTGTAACTTGTATAAATACACATGTAGCGAGTGCGTTGTTTAGTGTGCGCATGCTCAATAGGTGCTCGTCACCACGTCCCTATCCACAATTTGTTGTTCGTAACGTCGAGTCGGTAAGTAGTACATACAATGTAGGTACCTACAATATTGTTTGCTAACTTCGGCTAACGCGTGGAGTACGTGACAAAATATAGAACGCACACATGTACACATACTTACAGGGAGCGACTGCGACGAGTGCTTCAGGGGGCGCGGGGACAGGGGGGGTGATACACTGAAACAATATGGCGGCTTATCAGCGAGCATCGCGTCACGTGCGTGTCTCCCCGCGCACTCCGCCCGCGCCCCCGCGACACCGCTCTTTATTAGCTTTTCACGGAAAATATTCGACGAAAAAAACAACTGATAAGATCGCGATGAGGTCGAGCGGCGCCCATCAATAATCCGTCGATGTATCGGCTATCAGATCCGGAGCGGGGATTACGGCGACCTACCTACCGAGCGGCACTGCGACACCGCCGCATCGAGCACCGCGCCAGGTCTCGGGGCGGGCGCCGTGCCGACTGTAATGAGCAGCATATGCGTGCTCTCCTAATCAAATCTCTAGGCCTTCTATCTGATAATTACTCGGTATCGGGGATGGTATCGCGGTATCTCGGCTCCAGATACGAGGCTCCTGCGGGGCGCGCGGCCGCGGGGTGTCACTGCGCCGGCACTCGGCGACGTTCCCTACAAATATTTGCCCGCGCTCGTCGCTCGGCGCTTGTTTGCCGACGTTATCACGTCACGCGAACACACCCAGGCGTCCCCTCGCTTGCACAACGCGCGGCCCGAGCCTCGCAGCCGGCCGCGGCACTCGGTGTCAGTACAGTACCCTGGTATTACATAGTCTCCACTTCATGCAGTACTGGCAGTGCCGGCATTGTCCGGCGACGTACCGGCCCGGACGCGGCACGCGTGCATCGCGGCGGCTCGCATGCACGCTTGTACTATGTAGTAACAACAGCTGTTCAGCTAGATACAGTATCTGTTAGATACGATTATCAAAACTTTAAGATAACCGGTCTCACATTAGCGCCTAGTTAAGATAAACGAGATAACAATTTGCATATCTAAAGAAAGGCGCGATACTAAGTGGTGTATCAATGGGGTCGATGCACTGTACACACACACTAGATACGAGTATCGCACCTCCCATGGAAGTATGTGTAATTAGATTAGAGGGCGGCGGGCACGGACGCGCTCCTCTGCCGAGCTCCCGTGTCGCAAGCAGCCCACATACTGACACATTGTGCAACTCTCATCTTCTCAACACAACCGCGACTCACTTCCTACAATTGTTTCAAGATTCCGTTACAAAATAGACTACAAGTAAAGTAACAAATGTTCAGTAAGTTCAGTTTCAGTGTCTGCAGTCAGCCGAGCTCGTCGATTGCTTCAACTACCTCTATGAAACCTGAACTGTACCAATATTGTACGTAACAAATGAATTCGACTTAAACAAAACACCATCAAGGTTCATATCATTCGACGTAATATCATGAACCTACATACATATAATAATAATGTATCCATTATTCAATATCATCATCAGCATCATCACCAGTCGCCTGTATGTGCACACTGCTGAGCAAGTCTCTTCACACACGGAGAAGGTTTTAGCACTGACCAACGGTTGCTCAATGTGTGTAATCCAAACAGTAATACAAATTGACTTCAAACTTCTAATTTCACATTATATGTCTGGGTTTCCTTACATTGTTTTCTTTCACCGTATGTCAGTAGTGAGTGCTAAATAATAATCTTAGAAAGTAGGTACATATCACTCTGAAAAGTTGCATTAAGTACTTGCCAGGTTTGAGAAGCAGCGCCCTCATGCATAAAAAGCCTTAAGCTCCCGACCACCCGATTCCACCATACAATGCTAATGGAGGAGGCTGCTTTTATATACATAAATACGTAAGTATCTACAGGATAGTGCAGAAATACAATAAGTAGCAGTTGTGATGAGGTCGCTAGTGACAAAGTGCGGTCTGTAGTGTTCGTGCTCCAGTTAGTGGCCGAGCAACGCCAGGCGGCGTGAGAACCCGCTGCTATCTGCCAGCTACATTGACGAGTCCGTGACAGGTGCGATAGCGTGTCTGCACGACACTGCCCTAAGCAGTAATACTAGATTATGATGACAATACCCATTGCCTATTGCCCATGCTACATACATAGCCATTCGTATTACAAAATTGACAAATCTTGTGTCATTCAAAACCTTTATACCTATCCGTATAAGTGTGAAGGAAATAATACTTTATGGTTCATTACTACTACAATAAGACTGGGTTCACTAGCGGGAGAGCAGTAGTAGTGCACTGTAGGGCGGCGGTGGCCAGTTGAGCAAAGTGTCGTAAGCACCGCTCCGTGGTTACATAAGCAGCCGCTTGTCTTGCCAAGATAACGACATCACAGCGACACAGTTTGACACGCGACGTGACTCATCTTCGACAGCTCGCTACAAGTGCCGTCAGATTAATGTTTTGACAAGTTGACGTCTCTCATGATCTAATGATCGCATTTCACCCGTAGGTGGACGCTGGCAAAACAAACAGACCGAGTTCCAATCTGTCACTAGACACGGGGACTCCTGCATCAATACTTACTGCGATACTTCTTAATGTTTTGCTCAGACTGTAGCAGCAAGCAGTAACAGACGTAACAAAACTTTCAGCTTGACACATGCTCGTCATCCAGCCATCTCTGCGCGTACTCTAAATGCAACAATTTCATTTGAGAATATATAAAGTACTAAGAGCGTATTCCTTTTTAAAAGGCCGGCAACCTGTGACTCCTCCAGTGTTGCGGGTGTCCATGGGCGGCGCTGATCGCGGCGAAAAAGTAGGTAGGTTATGGTAGTAGGATAGTTTTTACTATAAAATATTATCGACAGTCTATTTCAGTGCTGGGCTCGCTGCCATTGCATCAGTAAGTCCTCTCATTGAGGAGTGGTTTGAGATACGCTACGGCGTCCTCACCCACCGCCTGACGCAGGTGCTTACCGGACATAGGAGCTTCGGGAGGTACCCGAGGCCTCCCCACAGGACGGCGAGCATGAGTACCTCGCCACCCGGTCAGAACCAGACTCGAGCGTGCAGAGCACGTTAAAGGTTATTGGGACTCCGGCTCAAAGTGCAGGAGTAGGAACGGGGTGGTTTACAGTCAGTAAGAGTCTGACACTCCCTCTCACTTCACCCGTTGTGGAGAAGTAATTCGATGAATTTCTGCCCTTAAAATAAGTCAATTTAAGTGTCCACTCACCGTCCAATAAAACTATATTCTTGAAAAAATAATCATGTAGGTACATACTTACATACAGTACTATTTACTACAA